CCCTGCTCTGTGGAGCTCCAGAGCCACAAGCCCTGATTTTTATTCCTGCATTCTGAGGATTGAGCTCAGGTTTGCTGGTTGTGTTTTGGGGCCAACCCCCTCAGAGCTGTTTGCATCCCCTGCAGGTGCAGGACAGGATTGCCAGTGCCAGGTGAGAGCCCAGGATTCAGGGCTGTGCCTGCTCTGCTGCTGGGGCATCTCCCAAGCTCTGGGAACCAAAAATGCTGAAGCTCTCACCTGTCCCCTCACCTTTTTTTGAGGTTTTCGAGGCAAAACCCCAGCCCTGTCACACCTGAACAGCAGCACAGAGACCCCTCAGACAGATCTGAGCAGTTGTGTGTCATGGAGAGTCTGATCCTCAAAATTATTCATTAAAAATACCCACTTAATAATTTCAAAGAGAAAGCTGAAAGATGCTCAGGGGCAATCTGTGAACAGAAAAAGGGGGTTAAATTCACCTAATAAATTATTTGCAGACTGAATAATTCATGGGAAATCCAGGGTGCATTTAAAGGGGTTTGATTGGGGCTGTCAGCTCCTCTGGAAGGGGGAGACACCTCAGAATTTGGCATTTTCTAAGGCACCATTGAGTACAGCAGAATTTCCACCTGGAACCAGATGTGTGGGTGAAGTTTCCTGTCCCTGACCCCAGCCAGTACCCGGTGTTAGAGGAAAAGCCATAAAAAAAAGAATCTTACAGCTGGTTTATCCTGTCCCTATCCAAGTGGAGGCTCCTGGCAGTGGGCAGAAATGGGAATTAAGGTTTTGGTATAACCAGGACAACCTGGCAGCCACATCCATGTGTTTGAACTTTATCATGTGAGCAGATTAACTTGAAAGTTAAGCAGATGTGGGGCCAAGTGTGAGAGTGCTGGTGTGGATCATTTACTGCACACCTCAGGAATTGCTGTGTCACAGACAGGTTTCAGATTATCAGACAGAAAAGTCAATGAAGATCTAAGACCTCTCTGGAGGCTGTAAACACTGGGCTTTACCTCGTGGCAAAGGGTTAAACTCAGCACTGGCACTGGGTTTATTTTAATTTGGGATAAAATTTCCAAGAGGTCCATGAAAATAAGCTGAGCCTTGTCCAAATGCAATGGAAAACCTGGAATTTTAGTGCATGAAGCAGGTAAAGAAAGGAGCACATGAAACTTTGTAAACAGAGGTGTTAAAACAAATTTAATAATAGACTTTTTAAACTCCCAGATCACTGTCAGAGTATATATGTGTTAAAAGACCTATAAATATATTTTAAAACAATCTATTTTCCTTTCACTTAGCTGCCAAGATCTCCATTAGGAGGTTTGTGTTTCCTTCCAACATTAAAGGATCTCTCTAACATCTGTAGCGACGAGCAGTGAAGAGTGTCAGTTCTGCTTCTGAAACAAGCAGTGCCACCACGTGAAGGAGGAAAAATGTGAAATAATGAATATGCTTCTGCAGATCAGGCTGCTGTGTGTAACAGGGGATGTGCAAAGCCTCGTGCCAGGCTTCACCTCACGAGTTTCTCCTCTCCATCTCTAAGGAGTGCAGTTAATTATGCAAAACTTGGAGAAAGTATTGCCCAGAGATGTTGAATCCTGGCACAAAGTGCCACAGAATTTTGGGCTGTGTGTTCCCTTCCTTCCAAGGATTGTGAGTGCGTTCCCTTCCTTCAAAAAACTGAGTTTTGGTCTCTTCCTTCCAAGGATTGTGAGTGTGTTCCCTTCCTTCAAAAAACTGAGTTTTGGTCTCTTCCTTCCAAGGATCGTGAGTGTGTTCCCTTCCTTCAAAAAACTGAGTTTTGTTCTCTTCCTTCTCAGGACTGAGCTTTGTGTTCCCCTCCTTCCAAGGACTGTGTGTGTGTGTGTTCCCTTCCTTCAAAAACTTGAGCTTTGTGTTCCCTTCCTTCAAAAACTTGAGCTTTGTGTTCCCTTCCTTCAAAAAACTGAGCTTTGTGTTCCCTTCTTTCCATCCAGAAGTCAGGAAGAGAAAAGGATCACAGCACAACACGAGCCAATCTCAGCTTCACTGGAGCAGCCACAACTTGAAAAATTCTCTGCTTTTTTTCCCATGAAGGTTCCCAGACCACAGGACAGCAGCATTGGATGGGGATTCAGGAGCTTTGGGAATGTTTTTATTCCCATAGTTGCTGTCACAGAATAGATAATGATAACAGTTATGTTATATTGGATATAATAGTTATTTTAGTATAATAATAGTTGTTATCATAGAATGAAAGGGACCTGAAATCTCCACCCCTGCCATGGCAGGGACACCTTCCACTGTCCCAGGCTGTCCCAAACCCCAATGTCCAACCTGGCCTGGGGCACTGCCAGGGATCCAGAACAGCCACAGCAAATCTGGGAATTCTATTCCTCACCCTTCCCAGGGAACAATTCCTTCCAAATCTCTGAAATGAACCTTTCCTCTGGCACTTTGAAGCCATTCCCCCTTGTCTATCCCTCTCTCCATCATCTTTTAGGCTCCCTTCAGGTACTGTAAGGGGTAATTAGGTGACCCCAAAACCTCATTTTCCCTTGAGGAAGGAAAGCACCCCCGTTTCTGTGGTTTAACGATGAACAGGCAGGTGTGGGAATGATGGAAACGTGCTCAGACACTGCAGGAAAAGGGAAAAATCCCACAGGTAACAAACAACAACATTTCCAGGAGCTTTCCTGGAAACCTCACAGCACAGGCAGCAGTTTATCAGCACAGGGAGATGTAAAAAGAAAATGATGTAACCAAAAATGGACCTGCAGGACTGCCAACACACAGAGAACTCACAGACACCTCCAAGCAAAGAGATTTGCTCCTCATTTCAAGAAGAAACTGCCACGGTGGGTTTTAATCTGTGTAAATGTGGGTAGGACACGCAGCTGATAAATTCTCCTTCTGCCTAAAACTGCAGGACATTTACAGCATGAAGATCTGCACAAATATCACAGATATTCCCAAATTTTATGTGGAAAATTGCCTGCAGTTATGCATGGAAATGTTTCTTATTTAATCTAGACAGGGTGTCCTGCCACTTCAGCAGGGGAGAGAGAACATGGACTGCAGTGAGACTCAAAAAACCCCAATTTTTAACAATTTCCAACAAAGTCTTTGGGTGCACTTTAATCTCAGGACGATCTTACCTGGCTGTACTTATCATTTCAGCTGCCCTGAATTGGAGAGTTTTATACCCAAATGCACAGATACCACGATGAGTGTGTGAGGATGTAATTTATATAATTTATGTAATTTACTGGGGGGATTCAAACCAGGATTTGCAAATCTGAAGGTTTTTAAAAGCTGATTCCCAGGACTCCTGTGTCAAAGCCAGAGGTTCAAAACCACAGTGGTTAAAAGGAAGATAATAAACTGCTCACTACTTGACCTTAACTACAATGGAGAGGAAAAATCAGTGTTAATCTTGCTACACAAACCTTAATCTATTTTATTTTTTTTTTTGCTTAGCTTTCCCTTTTTCAGCATCTATATAATTGTATAGATAAGATATGCAAGGGTTTACCTTTATTATCTGTACATATGATAAGCCCAAATTGCTAATTCATCCTTAATTTTTTTGGTTCAAGTTACACACTCGGTGTTATTTTAACATAAGGCTTTTTTTGTAATGTAATGATATTTAATTTGCATTAGCACAAGTGACATACAATAGATCATGCTATTATCATGATTGATATCAGATGAACTGGCATAAATTCAACGTTATAAATTGAGCCTATAAATGAAACTCTGATTTTACAGGAATTACTGGAGTAAAAAGGCTAAGGACCCTCAAGTCAACCTTACTCAAACCCACTCTTTAGAGCTTTATATATTTTATGCCTGCAATAAATGCTTTTGTGAAAGCCCATAACCTGCAAAAAATATTAAAAAAAAAAACTCATTGGAAGTCTATTAATTATAATAATCCCATCCAAAAAGCTGTGAGGGCTTATTTTTGTGACATCACTCTTTGATTTCTTACTGCCTTAAATTATCCCTTTGTTGGCTGGGTGAGGGTAACAGTCATACTTTTGTCATTAAATATAAGGAGTTTTAAAGCCTGATCCACCCCAGCTCTAATTGATATTGCTTTCATTTGGCAGATAGTGACCTGATTTATAATTTAAATATGCATCATTATATGCACCTCTTCTGTATAATGAAAAAGTGAAGTTACTCTCATCTTCTCCTGCAATGTTAACATCAAGGAAAAGTATCTTCCTTTTTTCCCCTTTTATACTTAGAGCCTAATTGAAAACTGTTCATTGAATTTCAACATGATAGAAAAGTCTTTTTATCTCTCAATTTGTCCATTAGCTATTATAATTGAAGTATCTGCTCCACGGCTGAATTGATATTGTTCTTGTTTAAATTCGGGATTTCTCTAAATCTTCTATGAGGCAGCAACTCAAAAAAAAAAAAAAAAAAAAAATTTGGGTTATGAGAAATGAGTGAGCAATGCTGCCTAAATGGGCCATGGGAGCAGCAGGCCCCACGTGCAGAGCTGCACAGAGCAGGAAGGCACAGGATTTCAGGATTTTCCTGGAGAACGTGTTGCATAATAATCTCACCAGCATGACCAGAAGGTTTGCTAATTGCCACATCTGTTTAACAGCTGTCAGATGTTTGCCATATGCTGCCATCAATATTACAGCAGAGTACATTACAGGGAGTTTTATTGTGTTCCACTGTTATTTATTTGCCACAGACATTACCACAGCCAGTGACGTCTGTTGATGTTAGATCACTAATTATGTTTTAAAAGCTGCATGCAAAATCCAGGGGTTTCAGCCTCCTCAGCCCCCAGTTCTGATGATGTCACTGAGAAAGTTTCCCCTACAGATCTCTGAACTGGTTTATACATTTCTATCTCTTCTCATGGTAAATAATTCTTCTGCAAAATAACTTATTTATGTTGTTTTTGAAGGATGTTTCTAAGCCCACGTTATGTTTTAATGGTGATGCTTGTAAAAACTCAAACTTCTCCTTCAAAACTCACTTCATTCCAAGCTTTTTTTCCCATCAGGGCACAGGTCAGGGATGGAGGACAATTCATCTTTACAGCTCAGAAGGTTGATACCCCAATTCTGCTCCCAGACCTGCCACTGACTCATCCATGCCCTCGATTCTTGGTGTGACCCTGATTTTCCAATCTGTGAGCCAAATCCCTGAGCTGGATTCTGGGCAAGCTGTGGGGTGAGCCAGCACCTTCCCAGCCATGAATCTGCCTGAGTTTTGTTGTTCTTTTAAACGTTTCCTTGCAGGGATTTTTGAGACAACTCTTTTCAAGTTACTTTTTTGTCACCACGGCAGGGAAAGAGGAAGCAGAGATTGACAATGTGCAGACGAGGCAAAATCTGCATGATGTGATTTAATGTGAGTTGATAGGTGTCACTGATCTCTATTATAAATAGACTGTGTGAATTCCATATGATGTATTATTTATCTATTGTAGATGCCTTTTTGTTTCATTAATAAACCTGGAAATCAGACGTATACATTTCCAATGATGAGATTTTGGCAATACAAGGCATTGTGACATTTGTCTGCAATTGCTCAATTATTTTGATGATTTTCTTCTTCTTTCTCTATAAATGATTAATGCTTGAGATGTTTGTTCAAGATTCTCCTGATTTTAGCTCATTTGTCCAGCTGAGTTCTTTTTTCCTCCTCTAATTAGGGAAGATTATTGCAGTGTAAGGACTTCCAGTGTGACCTGAATTCCAGTTCCTGGGAGATGCTGCTCTGGAACACACAACAGGATCCCATGGCTGAGGTCTGGGGAGTCTGCGACATCCAGAAAATCTCACAAAATTAACAATGAGGTTTCCATTTAAATCTGCCTCAGAGCAGAAACTCCTCTGCTGTTATTCTACCTACATTTGGAAACATTTCCACGGTATTTCTGTGCTTGAAAAAGTTCAGAAAACACTTTGCTCTTTACTCAGATAGGAAAGGACCTGAATCTTTCCCAATTCTGCAGAGAACAATAAGCAGCAGCTGGTGCCTTCCACTCGAGCTTTCAGAAGAAGCACTGAGATATCTTTGAAGACACCACAGGGCAAAGAATTGTGAAGAAAAGGTAAAGCTGGGGGTTGTTCCAGGAGCCCAAGTGTCAAACCTGGGGGTGCCTGGCATGGGTGAGGACAGGGGGATCCCTGAAGGAGGGAGATGGGGCCGTGAGCTCAGGCTGCAGGTGCCTGCAGGAGCAGGAGGTGCCTGCAGGAGCAGGAGGTGCCTTGCCCCAACACCTCCCTCAGCCATCTGAAATTTGTCTGCTTTCTGCACTGGATCTCCTCATTTTCCTCTCCTGTGCCATTTGAATGCTGTTTGTAGCCATTTCAATTACGTGATTTCCTTATCTGTGTACCATGGAGAATACTGTACAAGGCTTTATAAACAGCTCCTAAGTTTATCTGCCTGTCATTTGCTTTTCATTATGCGAGATAACAATCTTCCTCATATCTCCGAAGAAGATAGAATGTGATTGTTTTGAAATGGGGAGGGGGAGAAAAGTCTACTCTGCATTATCCCCAGCCCTGTAGCATTTGTAACGTCACGAGTGTCAGCACAATCTCCAACATTTTTCCTTGCTGTGGTCCAGGAAGAATTATCTCTGTAGTTTTTTTGTGCTTGCTGCTATCTCCTCTTTTCCCCCATTTTAGACACAGTGAGGGTCTTATCTGGAGCGTGGTTCTGCAGCTACAGATTTGCCTAAATTCAGCGTGATCGCTGCAAACCCTTTGGTGGAGCTCGGGCACGCAGGGGAAGGGTGAGAGGCAATTGTCAGCAGCTCGTGGATTAAATATGGACAGATATTATTCATGTCATTTGACAGTTCCTGACTTTCAGCTGCATAATGACACAGCAACAGTAGGAATTCCAGCAGCCCAGCTTCTGTCTTGCTTCAAGATAAGCTTATCAAGCGTAGCCTGAATCCATTCAGCTCCTCAGCGGATCAGAACTCGTGTCAGGCTGAGCTGCTGCTCTGATTCCTGCTCTGCACATCCACATGGGCTGGGCTTTGCCACCTCACAGCTGCCTTGAAGGGTTTTTAGCACACAGACAAGATTTGTGCCTTGTCCAGGGCAGCCCTGCATCCTCCTGGTGCCACCGAGTGCCCCTGAAGAGGAAAAGGAAGGAGGTGAGACCAGGAGATGCTCAGCCCTGGTTTGTGCTCTCTTCATCAGCTCCTTGATCTATGTTTTGTTTGGCTCCTTAAGGTGAAAAATCCCTCCCTGAGGTTTCCCCTGTGCTGTTTGTCCCAGAGATTCAGAGGGAATCTCTGAACAACACAGGAATCACAGCTGGCACTGCACACTCAGCAATGGTTTGGGGTTAGGAATTGACCAAGTGGCTGTGGAATTGTCACGTTCCCTGGTGTGCCCTCCCGATTACAGCACTTCCCAAACTTGTGGGATTTGGTGTCAGGGCAGAATCGTGGGTTTGGAGAACTTTTGGCAGGTGAATGTTCAATTAAAAAAAAAAAAGAAGCAAAGTTGTGAAAGGAAATTCAGCCAATTTGATCACACAGGATTTGATCAGCCAGAGTTTGATCTTAGAGGAGCTGGAAACTCCTCCAGGCTGGGGTTATCATTCTGGTTCTGCCTGCACAATGAAGAGCATAAACCACATCAAAATGTACAAATGTTGGCACTGGCTGTGGCCACAGGCCAGTGTCCTGTCCTGTCCCCCCTCCAGCTGGAAAATCAGGGACACTAAACAAAGTCAATCACTCCAGACTCCTCCAGAACATTTTCAAATCATTTGTGTTTATTAAATCATTGCTGATTTGGTTTTTCTACTCTGAATGTGGTCACTTTTTGAGGAACAGCAAACAGAAATTATCATTACATGAAAAATGGAAGATATGGAAGTTTTGCAGTTTCTTATCAGTGGGAAACTCCTTGCCGCTTGACTTTTCCTTGGAATACATTGGTAGAAACACGAGTTCGTGTTTCAGAATTAAATGCATGCCTCAACATCTCAGTTTATGCACTCATAATTATATTTACAATTAGAAACAATGGAATCGGGAATAGAACTTTTTTTGTTGGCTGAGTGCACAAAATGAGTTGTGGAGAAAATGTCATTTTAAGCCTCGCTTTCTTCCCCACAATTTAGGAGCATTTAAGCTCCATCTCCGACACACATTAAGAAATTAGGGGCTAATTAAATCCATATGGGGCTGAAAGACCTCTGGGTCCCTCCCAAAATTCCCTTTTACACAGCAAACCCCAAATGCTGGCGCACGACAGGACACAAACCCACCGCACGACGGTTCCCTGGAAATATTTTAATTCCTTTCGAGCAGAAAAGCCAAGCTCCAAATGGAAATGCAGATGGGGTAATTGAGAATTCCCTGCCCTGCCAGGCGGGGTTAATGGGCAGTGCCCTGCAGAAATCCGGCTCCTGCGAACCCTGCAAATGTCACAGCGCTACAGAACAAGGCTGATCCAGGTCCTTGTGGTGTTAAGTGGAGGCTGCAGGGCAGCTCTGAACCCAAACGCATAATTTGTAGACACAGGATGTCATTTACGATTGCTTACCTCTCATTAAAACTAATCAGAGCGGCTTTCTGGCAAAAATTGATTTTTAATTGGAAAAGTTACATCTGTGAAGCTGTTTTCTTTTCCCCTGAAAAGCTGAGAACTGATGGATAATGTCCTTGTTTGCTGAGAGCGTCGAGAGCTCTGAAAGACCTCTTTTGCCTACAGATTTTGGCCAAAAATTAGCATGAACAATATTTGTTTGTATGCTTTGCGGGATGATTTTAGTTAGAAAAGTTATTTTCCAGTAAAAAAAAAAAAAAATCGAGGGATGTCTTCACTTGCCAGCTTGGGAAGCACACGGATGCAAACAGGAGGGCAGGACCTTCCAGTGGCTTCCACACTTCTCAGGTATTTTTCACCAGGACTGCCACTGGCAGCATAAGGTGCAGCAATGTCACTTTTAATTAAAACCTTTTATTTTACCTGAACACAGAACAGCTGCAGCATCCACAACACGGACAAGGCCAGGGCTGTGGAATGGAAAAGGAGACTTTGGTAACGGGAAACCCACACAAAGCTGGTTTGTGCCATAAATCCCACAAAATGCTGCTCATTTTTCCCTGGAGGGGACAATGAGTGCTCTGGGCTGGTGATCGGGTGGGGGTCGGGCACGGGATGGTCCAGGAGGGCTTTTCCAGCCCGGATGATTCTGTGACAGCTGTAGGGCTCAAGTTCTTTCCAAATTTCTGCTTGAAAGCAGAATGAAGCTGTGGCAATAGAAAGCCCTTCCCAAAGAGATGCGAATTCCCATTAAATACCCCAGGTATTCAATTTAAATAGCGCTCGGTGTGATCCTGCAGGAGAGGAGGGATCTCCTTCCCCCAGGAGCACTTTTGGGGTGATTATCCCAGGATCGTTTAATTGTCCCTGTTTTATCCATCCCATCTGAGCCGGCCGAGAATTCGAAGCAGAAGGCTCAGCCAGCTCTGGGTGTTCCCAGCCCTTCCACCCAAAGCCAGGCAGGAACTTCACAAAATTGAGGGGAGCAGGGAGCGTTTCCAGGGCTGGGGGAGGTGGGAATGTCCCCATGGGGAGCAGGGACAAGGAGCTGGAATGGCAGCTGGAGGTTTGCTCCAGCCTGGCACTGCCAGCTCCCCTCTCCTGCCTTCCCAAAATGCAGGTGATCATTCACCTCTAAGGACAGCGAGGTTGTTAATTAGATAATAACACCCAGGTTATTTTCAACCGAACAACTGCTAAGCCTCGTGTGCAACGAGGGTTTTATTTCTTTGTTTTGCTGAGATATTTTTTCCCTTTGCGAGCGCTCCCAGAAATATCCTTGCAGGATGTGCCTCTCATTTTCCCGAGGATTTTCTGAAGCCCCCAGGGAACAGAACTCTATTACCTGAAGTCACCTTTCTGTCACAAGATCCAGGCAGGAGACACAAAGGACCTCTGGAATTTAAACTTCCTTGGTGTTCCGCTCAACACAGCCGAGCAAGAAATTATGCTGGCACCGAAGTTCTCGGAGCTATGCTGCGCTATTTAAAACGGAATTTCATCCTAATGGAGCCTAAAATAAAACAACGTGTGGAAGGAGATTTCAGAGTATCTTCGGTTGGATCAGGAGTTCGGGAGAATGAGAAAAAAACTCCAAATCCGACCAAAGAGCACCCTCTCCTGGAGAGAGCACCGGGAGGAGCCCTGCGAGCATCACCGTGCGCTCCGCACGGACAAGGTAAGCGCCGTGGATAACGCTGCCCATTCCATCCCCTCACACGGAAAACATTCATCCGGTTTTATTTTCCTCTCTGTTTTCTATTAAGTAATGGAAAAATTACCAGAAGCAGGGGCTCGGTTTGCCGTGAAAGGAGATGTTGGTTATGAAAGGGTCATTTTCAGCATGGCTTTATCGTTATGGGAGAGCTTTCAGGTGGGTCACGCAGCAAATCGGGGTTAATTATTTTCTGTATCCAACAGATGCTTCATTTGGATCTATTTCCAAGATGACCATAAAAAGATTTTTTTTTTTCCCCACTATAGAAAAACAGCTTGTGGAGATGAATTTTATTTTGTAGTGCTTTAAGAGAAAATCTCTTTTATTTATTCAGGAAGATGCTCTTCTGTTTCTGCCTCTTCATTGAATAGGTTTGATGGTGAAGTTTTCCATTTCAACATTTAAAAGCTGCTCTCCATGAATACTCTGCCACATTCTCTGAAATTCACAGATGAATGAATTTTTACAGGATTCCTGGAAAGCAAACACATCTGACCACGGGGAATATTAGCCTGATAAAGATTTAATTGTAAAATGACAACGAGCAGCAGTTGAAGTTCAGATAGTATTTCCCTGGCTGTCATTTCTGTGTGCAGACATTATTCTAATAGCAAACCCTCTCATCTTTGTTACCCTTCTCTTGATCTTTTCAGTGCCTGAAAAAGTCAAGTACCAATATCTTGTGGCACGAACATAAAGCTTTTTTCAGAAAGATTATATTTTCTTTTTTTTTTTTTTGCAGTGGGTAACACAGAGTTCATGAATAGCAGCATTGAATTGTGATACCAGACCAACATATTATTATTATTACTATTATTATTACTATTTTTTCACACCAGGGCTGACCAAGCTAAATACCTGCTAACTAAAGAGCAGTAAATTGGATTTTTTTAGCTAAAATACCCCAGGATGCTCTCTACAACAGCAGTGTGTTCACAAAGCTCAAATTTAATTTCTGATGAAGAACATGGCCAGTCACACTAGTTCTCTGAGCCATACCTGAGTAAATTAAAATCTGCACACAAAGAAAGAGTTTCCTACACTTTGTTTATCATTCTAACAATATCAAATGTCATCTACAGTAGCATAAATAGAGATTCAACTCCTGCTCACCTGGATAATCCCACTAAACTCAGAACAGGACTTTCCTTCCTGTAGCTGCAGTGGTATTTCATAACTGATGGATAATTATGGAGCACAAAAGGAATTCTTTTTATCTAGTTTGTTGAGTTCTGTCAGTTAGAAATGGAGAGGGTTGTCTCTAAGAAATGAGAAGTCCTCGTGTCACTGGCCATGGGACAGCCCTTGGCTCTGACCCCAAAAAGGAATTTTGTGGCACAGCCAGGCACTGCTTGTCCTGGAATCCTGCAGCCTTCTGGAAGCACAGCCCTTGTGAAGGATGGTGAGATTTATCGAGCCAAACTGAAGCAGAAGATTATTTTTGGTAAGCTTGGGAGTGCATGGATTAATAAATCCTGCTTGTCCCAGCTCTTAGGAATTCCATTCTGTCTAAATTTCAGTTTTGTTTTCTCCTTTCCCCCCCCCCTCAATAGAGCTGAACCTGGGAACAGCATCACTCAAAGGCTCGTTAGTTTGATGAAGTGGCAAAAGTGACTCCAGCTCCCGTGGGTACTCCCAGCTCCGAAACATTTACACATCCCAAGGGAATTCTGAAAAACACCACCGAGTCTTTAGGTACTGAATCACAGGCAACTCTTTTGAATCTTTAATTTTTTTTTTCTATATTCTTTTCTATGAGGATGTCAGAACTAAAATATGGAATATGCTTTTCCCACTTGGTTCCTATTACTTGTAAAGCATTCAAAAGCTTCCAGAATAAAATTACCTCTATGCCCTGCCAGGGAGCAGGCAGAGCTCCACAGAGTATCAAGGGAGTCCCTCTGCTGGTGTTGCTTTCCATTTTTAACCCAAATATAATCATAAAAATGACTAAATGTGAGACTGGAGCTGTACAGCCTTAGATTCAGCATTTATTTGTTATCATGTTCATCCCAGTGGAGTTTTACTGTACTTTTATATTTATACAAAAAGTGCTGAAATATATTCCATAAATTAAGGAGTTCATTTTCAGGTGTGACATATTCATCATCTCCACCATCATCATCATGTGAGTTTGTTTTAAAACTTTACTCATATGACAGCAGGCAATTTGCATTTAGGCAAAAACAAAAACAAAAAACATTTGAGGGAGAAATTCAAAGAGGTAAGAGGTGGAGGAAGCTGAATTCAACCCTGAAATTACATCCCTTACTCTTCTACCCCAACTGCACATTTTCCATGGGGGGAAAGGCACTGAGGCACATTTAACCCCATAAATGCCTGAGATTTCCCCTGGGTGGATTCAGGTCTGTGTCCTGACAGTGAAGAATTAAACAATTCAACACAAAAATACATTTCTGTTCTGTTCCACTGTTCATTTGAGGCTTAATCACAGTTGTCAATGTGCTATTGCAGTGAATAACATTTTCATATTGAGTTATTTTACAGTTCCTACAGCAGTAAGGAATATCTTAGGAATATCTGATTGTTTTGGCTTTATTTATTGTACAGGAAAGCAATGACATTGAAAATATTGTATAAACAGCAAATACACTGAGCAGCAAAATCCCTACCCTGCATTATGAATTGAAATGATGTTATTTTAAAACATTTGAAAAAAAGTCATAATTATATGATCTCAACAGAGACAAATTACCTATTATTTTAACATAATTAATTTGAGCTCAGAGCATTTATGTTGCTGTGTGTTATTATCCATCAAAATGCTAAAAATTGGGGGTTGAATCTTTAAGTTTTTTTTCTCCAAATCTGTCATTTGTTTGTCTCCACCTTCAATACCTGAAAGCTTTAATTACAGTAGATATTTCAGGTCGTTGTCTGTCCCCTAGGTCACATTTCCAACCTGATTTGTGATGATCTTGCACCAGGGCCTTCAAGAGAGAGCTCTCCCTCCTCAGTGACCTCAGGCTTGTAACAAGTTTCTGTTCTGTCCCTATGATACTGATGGGTTTTGAGGTTTGGGTTTTTTTAATCTTATTGTTGTATCCTGATCATTTATTCATTTATACTGCTAATTAATGTATTTTTCTCTTTCTCTTTTAAACACACCCTCCTCCACCTGCTGGGAAGGCAAAGGGAACAATGAGTGCTGTGGTATTTCACAGGTCAGGGTTTGTTCTCCTGGCTGGCTGAACAGTCCCTCTTTTCCCAGCACCTGGACAGGTTTGGGCTGGGTTTTCACTGAGCTCAGGGTGGGATCTGCTGCTCCTGTGTGGTCTGAGGTGACAGGAGATGGATGGAAGCTCTGCATGAAGGCAAAAGTCCACCCATTTGTTGTCCTGTCTCCAGGGGAGCACTGAGGCCACACTGTCCAAACTGAGCCAGGGAACGCCTGTCTCCGAGGCTCTGATGAGCTCTGACTTTTTTATGCCTCTGATTTTTTTTTCCCCTTGTCTCTCATGATTGACATTTGTCTGTTCTGGGCCTCGTTTGCTTGCACTGCACTTGTGGGGAGCGTGGAGCAGTGCAGTATTGTCATGTCAGCCGGGTTAAGGGTGAGGAACATTACACATGCACACTGATTTATGCCTCAGAGGCTGCAAATCGTGTCAAGTGTGATCTCAGCACAGCTCTGCTTCATGACTCAAGTGCCTGGTGCAGTGTTACACTCTCAGACATCAATCCTCAGCCAGGCAAGGGAGAACTCCAGAGCATCCATAAAGTCCTGGGTTGGGAGAGTTCTTAGTTATTCATGAGATAATAATGGTGTTTGCAAGGTTCATGCCAAAGCCAGAATCCCATAACCACTGAGGCTGGAAAAGATCTCCAAGCTGTGCCTGATCCCCACTCCACTGAGTGCCACCTCCAGGGATGGGATCCAAAACTCCCTGGGCAGCCCCTACCAAAGCCTGACCACCTTTTCCATGGGGAAATTCCTCCTGATGTCCAACCCGAGCCTCTCCTGGCACAACTTTTTATCCCAGTCTTTCCATAATTCTGTTTTGAAGCTCAGGAGGTCCTGTGGACAGCTGTGGGTCTGAAAGCTGCTGTTCTCCCAAAGGCACACAGCAATTTCTTCAGTACTTCAAGCTCTGTATTTGTTGAAGTCGCTGCCAGTGATTGGTTTTTCTTCTTCTGACCATCCCTGTAAAACAAAGCTCAGAGAGAAGGATCTGACAGCCAGAACTCCCTTGGGATACCAAAGGCCTTGACCCTCAGACCTGCCCAGCCACTGCTGCCCGTCCTGCAGGTGCCTCTCCCTCTGCTTTTACCCACAGCCTGAAAAACCCTTCCCAGCACAGCCACGACCAAAATTCAGGAACCCCTATGAAAAGCATTAATTTGGCCCCACCTTATCTTCTCCCTGAAGGAAAAGAGGCTGAGAATCCCCAGCTGAGCCACATTTGCAGCGTGCTGGGAAATTGCAGAGGTGGGAAGCACAGCTCCAGAGCAGCCCAGGACAGAGCCCTTCCCTCCCCAGCCCCTGCAGCACAGGGAGCTGAGCAGTGCAGTTTGCTCCTGACCAGCACTTTCTGCAGGACAGCAGGGAGGAATGATGGAAAGGGTGGAGGGATTCCTCTTCACAATGCCACAGCTCATCTGAACCTCTTGTAAGTTAATTTAACACATCCTGTTAGTGGTGTCCGATTAAAAACACAACAAATAATGCACCAGACACAGCGGGGGTGAAGGCTGGGAGTGCAGGCAGGACTCGGGGTACAGGCTGGGGCTGAGCAGGGCTCTGGGTTTGGGGCAGGGCAGGGCTCGGGGTTCAGGTTGGAGGAGTGGGCACGGCTCTGGGGTTCAGGCTTGGGCTGGGCACGGCTCAGGGTTCAGGCTGGGGCTGGGCAGGACTCGGGGGTTCAGAGCAGGGCACGGTTCACGGTTTAGGCTGGAGCCAGGCACGGCTCAGGGTTTAACGCCGCCGCTCCGCTGCCTCTGGGCCCAGCCTGCCCGGGGCCGCTCACGGCCGGCACCGCCGCAGCCTCACGGCCGCAACTGAGCATGCTCGGCTCCCGCACATCCGCCGGCGCCCGGCGGCCGAGCAGCGCGGAGCGGGTGCTGAGGCCGGGGCCGGGGCCGGGGCCGGGGCCGGGGCTCGGCCCGAGCAGGAGGCGGCGGCGGGGCCGCCATGAACCGCGGCGGGGCGGGGGCGGCGCCCGCCTTCCCCGGCCCCGTGCAGTGTAAGTGCTGCGCCATGCGCGCTCCGGGGCCCGCGCCGCGCCAGCGCCGGGGAGCCGGGGCCTGCCCGGGCCCCGAAACCTGAGTAGCGCATGAAGCGGGCGGGAGCGGAGCCCGGGAACCTGGCTGGGGGGCGGGGGGGGAACCCGGGAATCTGCGTGAGCGCCGCGGGCACCGGGGCCGGGCAGTGGGCACCGGGGCCGGGCAGTGGGCACCGGGGCCGGGCAGTGGGCACCGGGGCCGGGCAGTGGGCACCGGGGCCGGGCAGTGGGCACCGGGCGGTGCTCCGCGGGTCCTGGGTGATGGTACGTGCGTCCCGGATGGTGGTCCGTGCATCCTGGGTGATGGTCCGTACGTGGCCGCACGGTGGTCCATGGATCCCGGGCGTTGGTCCATGGATCTTGGGTGATGGATGCTCCATGGATCCCGGGCGTTGGTCCATGGATCTTGGGTGATGGATGCTCCATGGATCCCGGGCGTTGGTCCATGCTCCATTGGCACTGGGTGCTCTCCGTGTGTCTGGGGGTGCATCCCCGCAGCTCGGATGTCCCGGTGTCACCCAGAGCTGTGTCCCCCTGTCCCCGCAGTCCCCGGCAGCACCACGGTGCTGGTGGAGCTGACACCCGACATCCACATCTGCGGCATCTGCAAGCAGCAGTTCAACAACCTGGACGCGTTCGTGGGGCACAAGCAGAGCGGCTGCCAGCTCACCAGTGCCACGGCCGGTGCCACCAGCACCGTCCAGTTCGTGTCCGAGGAGACCGTGCCAAGCACACAGGCTCAGAGCACGAGCAGGACCATCGCCTCCGAGACACAGACCATCACAGGTACACAAACCCTACAGGTACACAAATCCTACAGGTGTGCAAACCATCACAGGTGCACAAATCCTATAGGTACACAAACCCTACAGGTGTGCAAACCATCACAGGTACACAAACCCTACAGGTGCACAGACCTTACAGGTGTGCAGACCATCACAGGTACACAAGTCCTACAGGTACACAAACCATCACAGGTACACAAACCCTACAGGTACACAAACCCTACAGGTGTTCAGACCATCACAGGTACACAGACCATCACAGGTGCACAAACCCTACAGGTGCACAGACCTTACAGGTGTGCAGACCATCACAGGTACACAAGTCCTACAGGTACACAAACCATCACAGGTACCCAGACCTTACAGGCACCACCATGTCACCTTCCAGGTGCCAGCCCTCTGTCCTTGTGTCCCCATCAGCCAGGTGAAATAACAGTTTTCACATCAGCTGGCATGTAACCAAGGCAATGAAACAGTGCTGTGCTGCCTCCTTGGGTTGGTTGTAACAATAGTTGCTTAATTTGCTAATTGAGATACAAGTTCTCTCAGAGAATTGCTCAAGTTTACTGTGTTGTGGAACCAGCTTGTGCAAATTAATTAAAATTGTCGATACTTATGAAAAATAAGTAATTACTATGCATTTTATTTTTTTAAGAGTGCTCTAGATGGAAAACAGACACAGAATTGCTGTCAGGCACCCATCCAGACCTTTTTATGTGTGAATACTGCATTCCCTAACATTGCTCCCACAACTAATTGGGAGGAAAAATATTACTCAAAATTTCTGCCTATGTGAAGACTCGAGTGAGGTCCTGATCCTGGAGACATTTAAATAAAATTAGGATTTTTTTCCGTGGGTGAAAGTTTGCCTTTCTATATATAGTTTTGTTTTATTTTGGTGTGGGACCTTACTAAACCCCAAATTATTTGACTCTAATTTGGATAGACAGATTAAGGCAGGGAATCTGGAAGAGCAGTGAAACAAACTGAATTCAGGGCCCACTTCCAGGAATTTTTGTATTATAATCCTTCAACTCAGTGTGGATTTTGGGTGAGTCATTTTTCTGCTTCATATTTACTCATCTTTAAAATGAGGACAGTTCTATCCATCTGCCCTTTTGGGCTATAATGTTGTTTAATTGATTTAAAAGCTGCTACTTTGGCTGAGATATTTTCACCTGTTATTCTTGTGAGTAACAGCTAAAAACAGTAGAGTTGAAAGAGGCTGAACTTTTTTAACAATTACAAAAATAATTTGTGTGATCCCTTTTGACAACATTTGCCATATAAATAATGATATTTTTTTCTCGTTCAGGCTATAACACAGTTGAAAAACAAATATGTCTTTATTTGGTGTTTGGAAGAGAAAAACTTTTTTCCTTTCCTCTTTCCCCAGGTAAATAGGAGGAACAGGAATCTTGCTGGAAAAAAAAAAAAACAGAATAGTGAATTCATGAAACTAGACAATAATAAGATTTTTTTTTAATCTGATTAGAGAAGTTAATGCTCTCACATGAAGTTTTTTGTGTGTTCAGTTTCTGCCCCAGAGTTTGTGTTTGAGCATGGCTACCAGACCTACCTGCCCAGCGAGAGCACAGAGCCTCCAGCTGCTGCTGTTGTCTCTACACCACCAAAAGCAAGGTCCAAGAAATCCTCCTCCTCAGTGCCACTGAAGAAACTCAGCTGCCTGTACCCAGGTGAGATGGGGATTTACCCCCTGCCTTTTCCTTTTAACTGGGCAGCTTTCCTGTGGTGACACAGGGGACATTTGATACCTGCACTGCTGCAGTGAGTTACCTCTAAGGGGAAGCATTAGAAAACTCAAGTTCACACCTGGTCACTGTTTTAAGTAGATGTGAGTAAATAAGATTAATTAATTTTCTCTTAACAGCGAATTTTAAAGAAAACACTGTTGAAAATAAACATGTCCAGAATATGGTGATGTATTTTAACTGTTTTGCTAGATTTTCCTTGAATTTAGTGATTTTTATCTTCCTGTTTCCAGGTTGCCAGTTCAAGACTTCCTATGGGATGAAGGATTTGGAACGTCACCGGCGAACACACACAGGTTTATCCTCCTATATTTTCTTTTGGGTTGGTTTCCTCCTTTCAGCTTTTTCACAAAAGCCATTTTCCTATGAAGTCATGTCTCTATAAACAGGATGTGGACATGTCTGTACTTTCTGGTATTGTCCTGAGGAATTGCCTGCTAGGGACCTGCCCTGCCTGGCCCAGCTGTGACACTGCAACACTGGAGGCTGATTTGGGGCACAGTTTAAATTCTGAATGCACACCATTTTATTTTGATCAGGGTGCAGTGTGGTGGGAGTGAACACACCTTTATATTAAAGCAATCCCATGATTTTAGCTCCCAATTTCAGGCTCTGCTCTTTGCTGCAGCCACGCCTGCAGCCTGGTGTCCAGCTCCTACCAACGAGTCCCTTTCCTGGTCAGCTGTTGCATTTTATTTTCTTTTTTTTGTCAGGATCGAGATTAAATCTGTGAGATAGTATTTTTTGTTTGTATTCAGATGTTTATTAGTTTTTATTTATATTACAGTTTCACAAACAGTGAGTTTTATCATGCTTTAAGCTAACAATTTAAAAATGGAGCCGTATTTCTCTTTTTACAAGTCTCTTTAAGGATAAACTGTTTAATTAAGAAAAAATACTTAAATTATTTTTACTTTTAACTTAAAAATTAACCACCTGTGGCTCGCAATGCAGACTTTTTTTATCTAATTATAAAGCCTCTAAGGGGTTTGTTGCACCACACACTTCTATTCAACTACACACCCATGATTTCAACTCTATCACTCAAATTTGGAAGCCTTCTCCAAGGCCTCAAGTCAAAAGCAGTGTTCCCCTGGGGGTCAGTGTCAGAAAGCACAGAAAGTTCAAAACTCCCAGGCTTCTGGGTTCCAACAAAATACTATTTATATTTATGAAGAAGGTGAAAAAGAAGGACAAACTTCTGCCTTAAAACTTTTATTTTGTTTTATATATATTGCTACATTTTAAAACTTTACATTCTAATTTTTTTACTGTGTGATATTACACACTTTTATTCAAACTATACACAGCTATAATCCCAGTTTTATTATTTCATTTTGGAAGCTTTCTTCACGGCTTCAGGTCAGATGTACTTTCCTGGGGGGGGGTCACATATTTTCACCTGTTATTCTTGTGAGTAACAGCTAAAAATATTAAAGTTGAAAGAGGCCAGACTTTTTTTTTTAACAATTACAAAAATAATTTGCGCGATGCCTTTTGACAACGTGTGCTTGTCAGCACAAAAAGCCTTAAAAATCCTCGGTGCCCAGGGTTCCAACAGGCAGCATTCAATGCGTGCCCTCTGCTTTTCCACCTTGGCCAACCCCTGAGCGTGTGAGTGCTGCTGTTGCAGGAGACAAGCCCCACAAGTGCGAGGTGTGCAGCAAATGCTTCAGCCGCAAGGACAAGCTGAAGATGCACATGCGCTCGCACACGGGAGTGAAGCCCTACAAGTGCAAGCACTGCGAGTACGCAGCGGCCGACAGCAGCAGCCTCAACAAACACCAACGCATCCACTCCAACGAGCGCCCCTTCAAGTGCCAGATCTGCCCCTACGCCAGCCGCAACTCCAGCCAGCTCACCGTGCACCTGCGCTCGCACACAGGTGGGGCTGCGCTCATATCCGTGCACCTAAGGGTTGGAGGGTCACTGAGGTGGTTTTATGTCATGGACAGGATAAAAGGGATGATTTGAGTTCCCATTCAAGTGCCAGATCTGCCACTATGCTGCAGCTCCAGCCAGCTCACCGTGCACCTGCGCTCGCACACAGGTGGGGCTGTGCTCACATCCATGCATCTAACGGTTGGAGGGTTACAGAGATGGCTTTATATCATGTTTAGGTGTCCAGATCCCTAGAAGGGATGATTTGAGCTCTTGAGTGCCCCTTCTAGTACCAGATCTCTCCCTACACCAGTTGCAGCTCCAGCCAGCTCACTGTGCACCTGTGCTCGCACACAGGTGGGGCTGTGCTCACATCCATGGCTCTAGAAGTTGGAGAGTGACAGAGATTATTTTAAGTCCTGGTCAGGTGTCCAGATCCCCAAAAGGGATGATTTGAGTTCTTGAGTGCCCCTTCTGTTGTCAGATCTGCCCTAAACCAGCTGCAGCTCCAGCCAGCTCACTGTGCACTTGCCCTCACACACAGGTGGGGCTGTGCTCACATGAATTATGCTAAAACTCAAGCTTTAGTTTTGTTGTTTCTTCTACTTCTCAAAAATCAGTCTTTTTTTTTGTAAAAGGACTTTATTTGCTGAAAGGAGACACAAGAATTTTGAAAGTAATCATTTTATTCTTGTTAGGTTGCAAAGCTGTCATGCACACACCCAATTTTAGGAGAAAAGTAAGACTGGTATGTAGAATATATTGCTTACTGGAATTAAATTAATAATCCTCTAGAAGGTGAGTGGTAATCCCCATTGTTCAGAGTGAGATTATCTTCACAGAATTACTTGTTGGACTAGTCATAAAACATCAGCTTCCTGTTAATTTGATTGAAACTACTCTTAGAATTAATAATCCTATGGTCAGACACAAGTTTTATCTAAATCCTGGCAGTGTCATTTAGGGATGGGCAGAAATGTAAAGAAATCTATCTTTAAACAAACAGAACCAGCATTTGCTATATTCTTTTTCATACATTGTGCTACCGTGTATATGAAAATTAAGTCATTGAAATATGAAGTGTGCCTTCATCAGCAAAGCAGATAAAAATTCAGTAGCTGAGTGTGCAGCTGAGGCTGTAAAATAAACTAGATGAACAAACAGTGCATCTTCATTAATAAAGTCTGTTTAATACAGATAGCACACCATGTATCTCAATTATTAAACAGATACATGGATTAGCACAGTAGGCCACAACTTGATTTGAAAAATATGCAGCTAAACCTATGACATATGTAGCTGGATAAGCAAATTATGCAAAATTATACAGCTCTCACAAACTCTATAAAATATTAACTTCTAAAATAAATCAGCCATTTGCAGTTTGATTATTAAAGAGGATAAATGCTTGTTGAACTAAATATACTTTCTTTTTCCTCCTCTCACCAAGAGTGTCTTAGAACCTAATAACACAATTCTTCCACTTGATCAAAATAATGCCTACCTAAAGAGTTCAGGCTCAGGAATTTTGGAGAATAATCTAAAAATATAGTTCTCCAAAATTCCTGAGTATCTTTAATCTAAAAATATAGAAGATACTCAGGAATTTTGGAGAACTATATTTTATGATTAAAGATAGAAAAGAGAGTAGTTATTTAGGCTGCTAAGTTTGCTTTGGAGTTTTTTTAAATGGCATTAGAACAGACTCACTGGAGTTGATTAGGGATTAGCACAGCTCCACCTTATCATGGTCATGGATATTGTGACAGCAGCCTGAAAAATATAGAAAATGCAAAATAATTTAGAGTGTGTCAGACCAGGTGATAATCCTGTGTCAGGAGATTTCTGTTGACTTTGAGGACGCTCTGGGAGCTCAGGACAGGGCGGCTGGACGGGATTCACGGCAGCGGTGGCTCCTGCTGTCCCCGTGTGACCTGCAGGTTCTCTCTTGGCAGGGGATGCCCCTTTCCAGTGCCAGATGTGCCCCGCCAAGTTCAAGATCAACTCGGACCTGAAGCGGCACCTGCGGGTGCACTCTGGGGAGAAGCCCTACAAGTGCGAGTTCTGCGAGGTGCGCTGCGCCATGAAGGGCAACCTCAAATCCCACGTGCGCATCAAGCACAGCATGGAGAACACCCTCAAGTGCCCCGAGTGCGACTTCCAGTGCGGCAACAAGACCAGCCTGAGGCACCACATCCGCGGGCACCAGCCCGAGCAGCCCGTCAAGTGCTCCGAGTGCAGCTACTCGTGCTCCAGCAAGGCGGCCCTCAAGGTGCACGAGCGCATCCACGGCAAGGAGAGGCCCTTCAAGTGCGAGTTCTGCAGCTTCGACACCAAGCAGCGCAGCAACCTCACCACCCACGTCCGCAAGGCCCACGGGGACAAGGCCAAGGGCAAGAGGCACTCGCTGGACAGCAGGGAAGGAGAGAGGCCCAAGCAGGGCGGCTCCAGGCAAGTGGCCAAGCTGGACGCCAAGAAGGCCTTCAAGTGTGACCTGTGCGAGGCGTCCTTCGTGCGGGAGGATTCGCTGCGCAGCCACAAGAAGCAGCACAGCCTGTACGGCGGCTCCAAGAGCAGCGAGCTGGCGGTGCTGCAGCTGCAGATGGATGCCGGCCGCCAGCCCGGCGCCCCCATCACCGTCAGCCACCTCCAGGTGCCGCTTCAGGCCGCTCAGGTGTCCCCCTACAACGAGGGCAGGGTCAAGATCATCGTGGGCCACCAGGTGCCTCAGGCCAACAGCCTCGTCCAGGCCGCCTCTGTGAACGTGGTGCCGCCTGCGCTGCTGGGCACGGGCCAGGAGGAGGTGCTGGCCGGTGGCCGCCTGCAGCTGCTGGGCCAGGTGAGCGTGCTGGCCCCGGCCCCGGCCGCGGTGGCCGCGGGGGACGCGGGGCCGGGGGCAGAGCCGGCCGTGCTGCTGAGCACGCAGGAGCAGGGGGAGGGCAGCGCCCTGCACCAGGCCCTGCTCCCCACGGCTGCCCCCGGCCCCCACGAGCCCCCTGCCAGCCAGGCCTTCATCGCCAGCTCCGCCATCAGCTGCTCCGACCTGGAGGGGCTCAACGCCCTCATCCAGGAGGGAGCCACCGAGGTGACCGTGGTCAGTGACGGGGGGCAGAGCATCACCGTGTCCACGGCTGCTCCTCCTCCCCCCATCTTCTCGTCCTCCTCCCACGCTGAGGGATCCAAGCAGAGCTACTCCATCATCCAGAGCGGGGCTCACACGGCCCTGCTGTGTCCTGCAGACTCCATCCCTGACTAGCACCAAGGCTGCTCTGGACCCTGCTCTCTCCTGGGGCAGTGCTGAGCCTGCCAGCAATGCACAGGAACAACTGAATGCAGGATTTGTCCTCCAGAGACAAACACCTTCCACCTCCACACTGTATTGGTACGCTGAAGGAGGATGTGTTTGTATTTCTGTGCCTCTGCTCCTTGGAAAATGGAAGCAGCTGTTGCCGGTGTCCCCAAGCAGTGACATCCTCTGAGCATGGCTCTTGTACTGCCTGGAAGAAGAACTCCTCACCTTGTGCTGAATTACCTCCAGAGCAGCCTTGTTGTTTGATGCACACGCAAAAAGACAATAACCTGAGCCATTCTGGAATTGAAGTGAATTATTCTCAGTTCTGTGCTCTGGGTGCATTCCCTGCTCCTGGCTGAGCTCTAAGGAGCCCCCAGTGCTGGCTCTGCTCCAGCCCAGCTGAGGTTTGAGGGGCTGCTCCTCGGTGTCTGTAGCAATTGGTAGCACCTGGCACTTGAAATGCTCCTGCAGAGACCAGGTGGTTGTTTCTAGAAAGCAAAAGAATGTTGTCCCTCTCAGTAGTAACTAACTTTGTTAGCAACAACACAAATTCTCTCTGGCATGGTGATGGCTGTCAGAGGTGCCTGTGAATTAAAGAGCAAAACAACTGGAAATATATTTTTTACAAACACTACTTATCTTTTGTTTTTATTTTGATGCTGCCTGTTGGGAGTTGCATGGGTGGTAAAAGTGCATTAGAGTTTGAGTCTTCTTTTCATTAAAGGAAAAGATTGAATTTAATTTAATTTTTTATAAAACTTCTAATCCAAGGTCCGTCACTCCAGCAGAAATTCAAGTTGGATCACGAGAAGATGGTAATTTATTATTATATTTATAATAATATTATATCTACTCATATATTTATAATAAATATTATTATATTTATAATTTATTATGGAAATATCTCTGATGAAAGAATTCCACTATTGAATTGAACTATGCAATTGCCCGTGTAGATGTACCACAAGCAAAAAGCAATGAATTTCCTCCACCTCAGTGGTGGAGTGAACTCTGCAGGCAGGATTCAGGATTTCCTCAGCTCCCAGTGTCCCGTGCCATCCATAGGTGGTGCCAGAGGCCCAGGGAAGCTTTGGAGCGTGCTTTGGCTCCTGGATGATATTTCCTGTTTAACACTTCCCTGTAAAAATATTTCAAAATTCAGTTTTTTAAGATGTTACCAAAAGCTCAGCTGTAAAACTCTCATTGTCACTTAAGAGAAAAAGCCGCAGATAAAAAGAAACACCTAAAGTTTTCTACAGGAAGCAAATCTGTGGCCAAAACTTAACCTCAGCATTTATGTTAAATTGATAATATTTTGCTCCCTGTTAATTCATTTTACCCTGTTCATAGCTGACAGCTGTAGAACTGTCGGGCACTACAAGAATGATAAAACCCGAGGGATTTTGGCAAAGCTGCTGGTTTGAAATGCAGTTTATCTGTGCTTGCCTTTGGCCAGGAGCCTCACCTGCAGTCCAGTGTCCCACTGAACCACCCCAGCTCTGTTATCTGCACTGCAGCTGCTCAAAAAGCCTCGAGAACCTTCTCAAGTAGGAAACCGGTAGATTTGTCATATTGTAAAGACCCACCTTGGTTCTGGGCCTCAGAGATAAACAGGAAAGATAACAGAATGGTGTGAATGGATAGACAGAGCTCAGTGCTGCTGCTTCAACGTCCTTTGGCTGATTGCATCATGTGAACAATCTAGAGGCTTCTTCCTCCACCCTGAGAAAAAAAAACCAGCTGATAACCAGGGCTGACACTGGGGCAATTTCTTTTCAATTTTCTCTTCCAATATTCTGGCTTGATTTCTGTGTGTGACAGCAATGGTCTGTGTGTTTTGGAGCTGGCAGGAGCAGATTGTTTTAATCTCTGATGTTCACTTAATACATTCTTCATGTTATCAGCAGAACCATCCCAGGAGGGAGCCTGGTAATTCAGAACAAGTGTCTCTTGTAGAGCTCTCCTGCTTTTGAGCACATGGTAAATAAATCCTATCCCTCCCTCCCCAGAGCTCTGCCATGGCCTCAGAGCTCTGGAGCAAGCTGGCTCTTTCCAGGACAAAATATTGGGATGGATTTTTGCTCCTGCTGCCTGGAGATCCCCAAGCTCCCCTGGTAAGTGCTGGCCCCAGGAACAGAGCTCAGAGATTCCAGTGCTGCTCACACTGCACAGCCCTGACTCCCAGAGAGAAGGGAAAACCTGGATATCCTACCCAGCACAGCCTTTGGGAAGGGAAAATCTGGATATCCCACCCAGCACAGCCTTTGGGAAGGGAAAATCTGGATATCCCACTCAGCACAGCCCTGACTCCCAGAGGGAAGGGAAAATTTGGATATCCCACCCAGCACATCCCTTATTCCCAAAGGGAAGGGAAAATTTGGATATCCCAGCAGTGCCCTAGCTCCCAGAGGGAAGGGAAAATCTGGATATCCTACCCAGCACAGCCTTTGGGAAGGGAAAATCTGGATATCCCACCCAGCACAGCCCTGGGGAAGGGAAAATTTGGATATCCCAGCACAGCCCTGGCAGGCTCTCCTCTCTGCCCAGGCTTTTCCCAGTTTCCCATGGGCTCCCAGGTGTGAGTTTATGGTGGTCACAGCCTCCCTCCTCTCTGGGGATGAATTTCTGAGAGATCTGAGGTTAAACTGGGCAGGCAGAGGTGCAAAACCTGAGTGCATTTCCAATAAGCCAAGCCCAGCTCTTGGGCTTTCCCAGCCCTTTGGGGTTTGTTGCTGTTCCTGATGCTGCTTTTCAAAGCCAGACCTGGTTCTACATGAGCTGATCCTCCCCCAGACCTCTGAAATGTGCTTTTCTCTTGTGCTTTGTGAGGCAGGAATACACAGCAGGAAAAAATCTGAAGGAAAATGTGTTTGGACACCTTTAATTGTGTTGAGCCCCCAGCTCAGTGTCCCCAGTGGGGCTTGAACAGCACTGGATTAAATTTTATCAGTGGTGCTGTATCTTTGATGTGGTTTTGATAAAAAAACTTTATTATTTGCATCAAAATGGGAGATTCCTGCTCAAAACCAGCCTCGGGTTGTCCCATGCACAGGGAGGTTCCTGGATCTGCCCCAGGAAACACTCCTGGATGATTGGATGGGATCAAATCCTCCCCTCAGATGAGGCCTGAAAGCAGCAGAAGTTGGTCCAAAGCTGGCTCCTTTGGGAGCTGGGAGAAAACGAAACATATTGATTATATGGGGGGCTTGCAATTAAAAAATTGTAATCAAAATATTTCCCAATCATTTTGGGGATGAGCTGTTTATTACTGCTGTCATCTGGCTGCACTGGAAAGTACCTTCTGTTGTGGGGTTTAAAATGTCAGAGACATGCCAAGACATTTTTCTCTACAATACAAAGAACTGGGGAAAGGCTCGTTTGTTTTGTTTTGTTTTGTTTTTTTAATTTAGATACCTTTATTTTATTCTGTATTTCTGCTTCTTTATTTATTTGTGTTTGAAGTCAAAATATAGTCAGTCATCCTTTTTGCACTATGCTGCTCTGCTGACTGCAAAAATATTTTCTGTGTCCTCAATGGCAAGATCTCTATCCTATAATTTCAGGAATATTGACTGGCTACTCTAATGGCTTTTTACATCTCCAGTTGGAAAATCTTTAGCCTTGTTATTTAAATTTTAAGAAGAGAAACCAATATTGTTAGAAGAAACTGATGTCTCCTGTCACTTACCCAATGACCTTTCATGAGGTGATAAAGGTTTCTATAGTGACCTGAGGAAATGATGGCTCAGGTATCAGCGTGAATTAAAAGTCTGTGGCAGGAAAAGCTTTCTTTTCTCTGTCTCTCAGGTATCCAGTTCTGCCTTTGTCTTTATTCCAGTGGCTGACATGGAGAAGGACTCATAAAACATCCAGGATTTGGTTACATGGCTGTCTTTAGAGGCTTCACAATGCTGTAGGGAAGGAAAAGCATCCATGGCAAAGCAGAGGTGAGTTTTTTACAAGCTCACGTTCAGGCTCTGCTGCTGCAGTGTCACTGAATTCTGTAACCTGTGGCATCAGCCAAATTATCCCACGAGCCCCAGGAGCTGTGTTTGCCTCTGAAACCAGGAATTATCATTGCCTGCAGATTCAGCTTTGACAGAGGTCTTTGAGTTCCTCGATTCGCACCTTGTGTAAACTCACCTTTAATTCTGAAAGTGAAAGCTCTTGGTTAGTAAGAGTGGCTGCATTTTGTAGGTAAAAGTTGAACATGATCTGGGAAATAATTAACTGGGGGCCTGGAGAGTATTTTGAGGTATTTTTATTTAGCTGTGTCTTGTGCTGCTGGGTGAAACAACCTGTTATTGATATCTTCCAGTTTATCAAACCTGATGTGAGACACCTAAACAACCTTGGAGAAACCTCCAACGTTTTCAGCTTGAGTTTCCCACTGATGTCTTCCAGAGTGAAGGAAAGCTGATAAATCTTTGTGAAATAAAGGCTGGCCCTGGTCCCTGTTGCTTTGAGCTGTCAGACAATTTTCCATCATTTTGCTCCCCAAGCCCTGGGCCAGCAGAGGCAGAGCAAGGCCAGCCCTGAACCCTCACCTCCCTCTGCCTACTGCTTGTATTTGCACTTTTTGAAGGTCAAACCAAAAGAAAAAATCCACCCCACACTTTTTCCTAGCACAGATCTCAGCTTCCTCCTCCCAAAGTGTGTCTGCACTTACTGTGCTGGCCATAGTTCATAATTCTCTCAGTAATATCAGTATATTATATTTATATATCAGTTCTGTTGCACTGGAGCTGTGCTGCTGGATTCCCCACGTGGACAAGGTGTCCTCAGAAGGATATGGTGAGGATGGGAATTACTTGGATACCTCAGTGATGAGCCAGATGCAAATTGCCAGATGGATCCTGGAGATAGTCACATCTCCTGATGGCCCAGAGGAAAATCTGAAAGAACAGGAATGCATAAAGCTCAGCTGCATAATGCATAGCAGTCATAATTAATAGATTAAAGTTCTTTGTGAAACATGCTTTTTTATTCTAATAAAGGGAACGACTACAAATGGTGACACAGTTAGAACAAAACAGCGATGGGAGATGCCATGTTAGAGTTGTAAAGCTAAAGAGGTGATAAAAATGTACCTTGGGTTTAAATTT